CCCTCTGCACAACACTGAGCATTTCCCTGCACCATCCTTTACCAAACTGATAAAGGAAGTTAGCATCACGACCTCCAAATTGCAGACCCGGTGTTCCTTCTGAATAACACTTCTCTTGCAAACTCGTGATTGCGCACGCTACTAGGAGACACACTCAAATACTGAAGAAGATTAGCAGTTTGCTATTTTTGTCATTTGACACGTATTATCAGCAGCGTTCTGTGTCAGCGCAAGCCAGCAAAGCTGTGATGCTCCTTGTTTGCTAAAGTTATCTGTGAACACCAAAGATGTTTCAGTCAATCCCATACCACAAATAGTGAAGGTCCCATTCTTCCTGAATCTAAGGCTGAGCGGCATCAAAGACCATGGGAGACAGGTACAGCCACAGGAGGTGTTTTGCCAAATCAAGCTCCACTCTGAGGCAGGATCTGATGAGGTCTTTAATGCATGACACCTATAAAAAAAGTAATCTTCTTAGGGGGAATAGCTTTAATTTAACAGAGGGCAGATTTAGATTAGATATTAGGAAGAAGTTCTTTCCTGTGAGAGTGGTGAGGCGCTGGCACAGGTTGCCCAGAGAAGCTGTGGCTGCCCCATCCCTGGCAGTTATCAAGACCAGGCTGGACAGGGCTTGGAGCAACCTGGTCTAGAGGAGGGTATCCCAGCCCACAGCAGAGGGTTGGAATGAGATGATCTTTAAGGTCCCTTCCAACCCAAACCATTCTGCAATTCTATGATCCCTATTATTAAGGGCATCAAGACTGGGCGTAGAACTGAAAAAAAAGAAAAAAGAAAAAAGAAATGGTTGTTTCCCCTAAACCCCCAGATCAACCTCTTAATCCTGGAATTACAGATTTTCTCATGATACAAGCAGTATTTTTTGCATAATGTATGTCTCTCTTCTACCATGTAACAAAATCTTAACTTATTTGGTTTGATAAAAATTTTTCATTCTGACTTTCAAATTAATTACAGAAATCTTTTAACATAAACCTGACTGTTTACTCAATCTTCTTTTATGGTCCATAAGTATGCATGAAGCAAGAACACAAAAATACATTTTCAATGAAGCAATTAGTTGTTTGAAGTTTTATTTTTGGTTAAAAATTAGGGATAAGCAGAAAAGCTGTCTTGTAGGAGCTCTGCTTCTTTAAATAAAAAAAAAAAAACAACTTAATTTATACTATAAGTTTCCTTCCCTATAAAAGGAGAAAGTGTCCTCCATAAGTCAAGCAAAAATCTTCCTAAGAGTCAAGTACAAAAGCTTCTTCAAAGAGAAAAGATGAGATGTACTTTAAAGAGATAATTCCAGAGAAGGAAGAAAAAGAGTTCAAGCCTAGGGTGAATACAGCTTGGTTATATGAGGCAGTTTCTCCTCCAGGTGGCTCAAGAAGAATGGAAACTTTCCTCCTGAGAATTCACTGCCAAGGGGACTGAGTGCATCGGTTTTCACCTAATGTGAGAAACGAGGATCTTAAGCCACAGCTGGGAGAGCAAAAAATAATTTTTTAAGACACATAAAGTAAGGAGAGGAAGTTGTCTTCTGAAGAAGAGATTGTTACTAGTCTATTTACCACAGTCTTATCCCTCCAGAAATCAAAAAGACCTTTCTAATAGTAACTAGCAAAGAAAACTAAGATGAGTTAAGGCTCCGTGCATGCCCAAGTACAGGCATGAACTCCTCTCTCTTTTGATGAGCAGCTGTAGGTGAAATGAGAACTTTGGCAACACTGAATTACTTTTTTCTTTTCTTCACTTTTTTTACATTAAAGTGTTTTGACACCAGACCAAAAGGGACTGCCAGCTTTTGAAGGTTTGACTTAGACCTGTGTATGTAAAAGGAACAGAAGACACTGTGGCCTGGTTTAGCATAAGCCATGACAGCTTTAAATAAAGTAGCTACAGCATCACTGCCGTCACCTGCAGAAGTGCAAAATTCCCTCTCCTTGTTGCACTACTAAAAACAGTCTCACGGCTAAATACAGCTTTATGGGAATGCAGCTAAAGGGCTTTCCTTGAGCTCTCAGAGGTTCAGCCATCTAGCAGGCATGTCTATGTCCAACAGGTAAAATCAGCCCACTGGGACACTACGTATTCTTCCTAAAGTTGCTCTTACCCTTCAGCCCAGCAGAGGATTTATACCCCTGGCTATCTTCAAAATGACTCATTAACCACTTCTTTCTGTATAATTATTGCAGTAGCAGCAAATGGGGCTCCATGTACTGATGAATGCCAAAGCTAACTGGAAAATGAAACCCAGGAAATTGCTGGAGTGTGAGATTTCCCATCCAAAAGCTGATATTAAAATTTCCCAACTAGCCACCAAGTCAATAATGGAAATGAATGAGGAAACAAAGACTTTCTGTGGATTTTTTTTTCAACAGTTAATTTTCAAGCTACACAGATATAGTGCCTTTTCAAATTTTAAATTAGAGGCTGAAGACCTAAATTGGCCATTAGGGACTGCTTTTTATCCAAAACTAACGTGGAATATTAATTTAATATGGTTTTCTCTCTTTAGATTTACAAGCCAAGATGCTTCCAAAGTGATTTTTACCCATACAGTTTTTAAGAAATATAAACATCTTACTTGTTTCCTTAAATATATTTGAAGGTTTCATCAAAATATTAAAAACATTCTTCTTTGCTCGAATAATACTTTTTATTTCAAAAGGGAATATTGCCTGGTTTCCACAGGTTTGTATTTGACACTTACCTAAAAGTGTAAGAAAACTGTCTTTCTCCATATAATTTTTATAAATGTGTGTTTATTATTACAAGAAAAACAAAACAAAATCTATTTTGATAGAAAATGTTGGCTAAGTACTTGCGATCCTTATGGTTCATTTTGTGGTCTCTGAGTAAGAAAACACACCAATCCCAAATATTCCTCCTCAGTACTACTCAGAGTTTTTGAATCAGCAAATACAACATGATCAATTAAGTCAATATTCGAGAAACAATAAATAAATAAAAAAATTCAACTAAAAAAAAGGAAAAAATTATCTTAAACTACTTAGAACATTCCAATTTCCAAAACTTTGATTTCTTATGAGCTTTTCTGTGGGGTACAGGGGTTTTTCTCCTATCTTTTTCACAGCTAGATCCCATCTTCACTGGCACATTAAGCTTACTCCAGTAGTACTGTCTGCCTGCAAATATTTGATCATCAGCAGATGAAAATACCTAGTGAAACATCAGCCTGCATAGGAAGGGAAACCCACCTAGTATTTAATTACAGCTGGAACCTGAAGACAGTCATGTTTCAGAAAGACATCATCTGTATTTGAAGTATGTTAAGAAGCAGTGTATGATGTAAAAAACAAACTTCAACAAATAATAAGTCATAGACAGAAAATCTGAGAACACATATTAATAGCTAAACAAAATACAAGGAAAAAAGACCTATTCCAGAAGGAAGTTTCACTGAAATTCCAGAAAAAAATCAAAATTTTGAAACAATCTTTCTCAACCCTTCCTCTTCAGATCATGCAGCATCCCAGTCTTGAGACTTTTTCCTGCCTTTTCTGCAAACACCAGTTTCATTGTCATGCCTAAAATTAAGAATTAACAAGAATCTAATACATGGATACTGGGATAAGAGAGAATTGCTTTAATGGCATCCAAAAGAAGAGACCTAAATGTTTGCTCTTGGGTTTTTTATCGAATAGTGACACAGGGCTGGCCTACAAAATCACTTCCTAATTCCGTCACTGCTCATAAGGATTTACAAATTTGGCATTGGTATGTTACAGCTCATTAAGCACATCACAAAGCCAAGTGCACACACCAGGCAAGGAAATCCCCTTAAAGGCAGTCACCCCCACCACCAATCCCATAACTAATAAACAGAAAGTGTCACCACTTGGTTCTCTAAATTAACATACACCCTGATATTCATCTGACAGAGAGGGGGTTCCTTTTGGGAAGACAACCCCACCACTTGTATACCACAAGACAGTCAGGTTTCTCCTTGAAGGACTCAGGAGACTAAACGGCTAACTTCAAGCTCTAGCTATTTATTTAATTACATATGTGACATGTAAACATATTTGTTACATGACACTACACTTACATTAGGAAAGTTTCTAAATGTATATTGCAAAGACTTTCTATCTTTGGAGGACTTAGGAGAGATTTTGAACAGTTTTCCTCCATCCGAAGTGTACACAAAACCACAGCTGTTTGAGGCATTTGGGTCTTCTCACTTTCAACAGCTGAGTCCAGTCCCATCATTTACAGTCAGATGCAAAGTTTACCATTAAACCTACAGCAATAAACTACCTGATCACAAACAGGAGCCATGCTGCATCTGACTAGCCCACTCATTGACAATGGAGTTGTACAAGTCAGACTGGAGTTTGTTGTGTTTTTTTTCAATTCCATTTTGTGCATTTATTGAGGTATGGCATTTACAATTGTTTCCTCTTTTTCTGCAAGCTCTGGTGACCAATCACACTGCAATCCCAATACTTCATATTTCTCACTGCCTAACATTTCACCTGCAGCTTCTAAAACTTCATATCATAGGAACATAAAGAGATTAAAAAAACACAATAAAAAGCACCACAAAAGCAAGCAACATCTTTCAGCAGCAATTAAGTAAAATACCAAAACACATCTGCACTTGCTCCCATGTCAGTTTCAAGGACAAACTCAGCCAAAACTAAAAGAGATTAAGGGCTGTGCCATGTATTAGATCTTCACCCTATGCAAGATGCAGACAAATCTTCCTCTGATATCTAAGCAGGCTCAGTTGTCCCTGAGCTTCATCTTTCTTACTGAGTACTGCAATTTTGTTTAAAGGTATTCCCATACACCAGCAGCCCCACCTGTCTTCATAGCAACAGCCACAAGTCTTCTAACCATAAATACTTCCATGCTTCCAAAAACTGCAGAATCTGCACTTCAAAGAGCTGGCTGCTTCTTTGCAATGCCAGGTATTATAAAAAAATTAACAAAAAAAAACATAGCAAGAACTTCCCAAGCAGTTTACTTACAGTACACGTCCACTCTTATGGACTTTATGGCTGGTGAACCCAAGCCGTTCTCAGCCTTGCAGTAATAGCGTCCTCCTTGGTGTCTCTGGATATTGGATATCCTCAGAGTTTCATTGAAGACGCTCGAATCTTGAAATCTGTCAGAGGCACTTCCTGCTGTTTTGGTCCACCTGATCTGAGCAAGCACCAAAAAAGATTGTTACTTTAACTCTGTAAAAGTGAGAAAAACATATTTTTCTTCACAAAACTGAGACCCATGTATGCAGCAGCCAGGTTTTTATTGTAGGACTTTGAGAACTTTTCCAGAAAACTGAATAGCTCATGCTTAAAATGAAAAATGCTATCTAAGTGTACCTGAAAGGTAATCTTGCATTAATCACCCTCTCAGAAACAGTTGACTGCTTTTGATGAAAACACCCCATTAAAAATGAATGATACTAGCAGAGATATGGAGAAGAACTCAAGCCACCATCAGTGATACACAGCAGGAACGGCTGCAGAGAAATTCCCTATAATTGTCACTGAAATAGTATTTGTGAAAGATGAGGGCACATTGGAAAGCACCTTCAAAACAAATGATGGATTATCTTTTAGCAACAATAAAATCCAATTTTAAGGAGTCAAATGATCAGTTGCTTGAAACTGCAGTTACTACCATCTATTTCTTCAAATAGGTGGTTTGTTTTTTTTAATGTCGTTTACAGCAATTACAGATCCCTTTATCTGGTAATTATTTTTCCAAAACCAAAGAGCTTTTAAAGGGAATATTTTAATTCCAGAACCATAAAAATGCCAGTAACAGCTCAGTGTAACCAAGAGCTGCACAGAGGTGGATACGCATACTGCTAACACCCATGCTTGATGAGCCAAGTCCTTGCCTGCAAGATTTGTTACTCTAAACTATTTCCATAAAACACAACAGACATCTAGAGACGCCCCCAGATACCTCCTTCTCTTTCAGTTCACACTAATTCAGTGACCAGGACAAACACCACCAAAACTGATTTTTAGACGACATGTTTTTTTGTGCCTACAGAGGCCACAAGTAGGACACTTGCATTAAAAAGAATTTATGTCTCTTCCTGAGCTTCTCAAAGCTGTCTCTTCTCAATCCCATGCACTAATTCTATGCCAGGGTAAAGACCTGCAGTCATTGATATAAATGAGATTGACGCAAGACAAAATAATAAATATTTAGCTATTTGTTCCCAGACAACAGTCCCCAAATACTGTCCAAAAGTAGTGCAGCTGTGATTTAAAGAAAAGCATTTGGACACTGATCCATTGGGATCTGCTAGTCAGGCTGTCACAAGCAATCTTGAGCCAGTATTGGCTTGATTTGAACAAGGCAGTGCAAGCCTGCCATCACTGGCAAGTTCTTGTCTCCATGACCAGTTAAGACTGAGCTGGACATGCTATGCTTCCAGCCCTCTCTCATGTGAGGGGAAGTCCCATGGATGAGCTGGGAGGCCTTTGGTGGGTATCAAGGTGGCCTTGGCTGGAGGAAAATCATTTCCCCAGGGTGCATACTCAAGTTCCACCATACCCAGTCCTCACCCAGAACTGGGTTCTGGATCCCAGTAACCTGCACAAAAGCACAAGGTGGGCAGGGGTCAGCTTTCCTCTCATTGGGATCTTCTCCTGGGCAGGAAGGATCTTCCATAAAAGTCTCTGAAGTGAAAAATTCATGACCAGGTATAGCCCACATAAATTCTCCTCCCCTTGAAAGAAGCGCAGGCATGGTCTTTGGAGGCTGAATTTACAGCAAACAATACTTCAAAACCATTTTCATCTTTCTGTCTTGTTATATTCAGAAACCCAAATGGCTTTGCCCTCTTGCCAGGTGACCTGCGTAACTCTCATCAGGTTTTGTTGCTCTGGGATAAAGCAAATATGCCAAACTCCACATCTACAACATTCAGTCTGCATGTGAGAGAGACGCTATTAGCACTGCTATATTTACCAGTCTCAATCTGTCGGTACTTCTATTCTAAACATTTGGCTCCAGGGCTTTTTAAATCATCCATATAAATGTGCTGCAGGATAATTTTGGAACACATGCTCAGCTTCTGCATGCTGCAGAATACAATTTAATCATATACATTTCAAATGCTTGAGAAGTATTTTAAAAAAGTATTTAAGATGTTCACTGAATCTCTTGCCTGTTTTATTTCCCTTTACGTATCAGAATTGCAAAAAAAGTGTTGTTTGATTTTGAATTGGAAATTAATTATGAGCATGACTTCTCTCTTCCTCCCATTCCCCTCTGACAAAACATTCCCCAGGGAAGGCAGTCTGTGCTGTCAAAAGAACATTTATATGTTCTTCAATAATGTGTTATAAGTATTATCAGGATATATGTAACTGGCAATGTTACATAACTTACACAAAAAATATAGCAAAGTTCATTTAGATGCTGTCAGTTTTATCTTTTTTTTATAAATGCAAAAACATCCCCCTCCACTATATCCTAATGCTGATATATTATCTTTATTATTATGAATTTTAACAAGATTATGTTTGGCTGCCAAGAAAAGCAGACATTTCAGCTTTAACAAAATATATATACATATATGTTTTACAGGAAAGATGAGTGATGTTAACAAATTAACTAATTTTGTAGTGTATGTAGAGATCCCTGAAGAATAAAAGAAATACTGTCAACTAGATTCTCTCTTAAAATATATCCTCCAGGAAAGTCACTGGTCTGATTTAACTCAGTTCATTATTTACCTTAGCTTTAATTCAACATACACACAGAACTACACTGATCAATATCACATTGTAATTTATTGAACGTACTGTGAAGAAAGATGACTCTCAAACACTATGCTAATGCAGGAATCAAAAAACCGGGCACAGGAAAAAACAGCTATCTGAGGCTGAAAACCTCCTCGGAGAGGTCCCTAGTGGTTTCACTCACTGCAAGCTCCAGTCCACGCTTTGGGGTGACCTTTAATAACTTTTAAGGTACTGAGACCTTCAAGTCCACCCTTACAGATGGAGCATCTCATGGTTCAGCTCTAGTGTTGAAGCCTTCAGCACTGCTTACTGCAGTGACCTTCGGAGACACAGTCCTGACATTATCCCATTTTCAAAGTTGGAGCCTGGCAGCAAAGAAGGATTAGGGGCTCATGAGACATTGTGGCAACTATGAGTCTCAAATCATAGAATCTACAGAATCCCAAAGTAGCATCCATGCTGCTTTACACCAGAGGATTTCAAAAGCTTCTGGCTTACTAGATTTAAACAGCAACAACAAAAAGCATTAGACGGTATATTCACATAGTTCAGATACTCAAGTGTTTTCAAATACCTTGGCACAAAACCTTGGCACAAAACAGGTTGCTCACCCAGGTGCATTTTATCAGTATTTGCTATTCATAATCTGCTCCCTTGTTTAAAAACTCCAGTGCCTACTGCAGAGCAGCACCGCATACTCTGTGTCTATTCAGATAGTGTGGATACCACAGGAAGTAAATAAATTCTGTTCCACCAGAAAGTCAAAGCTAGTCTTGCTTCTAATGTGTTTCAACTAAAAATTTACATCCACACGTCACAGCATACACAAACTGGTCTAATAAATGTCAATCCATTACATAAATACACACTCGCTGGCTTCTAAGGATGCAATTTTCCCAAGTATTCACTGTTACTCTGATGCACATTTGGAAATCCCACCCATGAAATGTCATTGCTCTGCCATATGATTATCTGTCCAGGTCCCTTCAGATTGTATCCCTACCCTCCAGCATGTCAACTGCACCACACAGCTTGGTGTCAGTGGCAAACTTGCTGAGGGTGCACTAAATCCCACTGTCTATCTCACCAACAAAGATGCTGAATAGTGCATGTACATGTACCGACACCAACCCCTGAGAATTCCACTTGTCAATGATCTCCACTTGGACATCAAGACATTACTTATACACTGAGCCACTGAACATGCAGAAGTAAAAAATTATTTATGAACAATTCAATTAAAAATATTAAAATTTAAAAAATTAGTAAGGTATGACCCCTGTAGAAATATCATGACCTATGTACTTGTCCCATTTGTACATGCCCATAAATTCTCTTACCATCAGTATCTCTGATAGTATTTATTGCCTTAAGGAGATGCCCCATGACACACAGTCATATTTCACCCTACAGCTTCACTTTTCTTAATGAGCGTTCCTTCAATTCAGTAGGAGTCACAGACTTTACACTTTTAGACTAAACATGCACATTTAGAAAAACCCACTGAAATCTGCCTAATGCAGGAACTGTAAGTAAATATGTTACTTAAAATACACCCAGTGCACAGGGGGTTGGCACTGCATCCCACTGCCACTAACTACAGTCACTACACTCTGACATCATGAAGAAAACAAGGATGAGGAAAACATCCTGATCATAACCTCCTGTTATAATGCCCAAATCCATGTCTCATACTAAATGCCTGCTTTGTAGGCAAACAGGCATAAAAGAGGTATTTGAAGAACTTCACTTGGATGTGCTGAAACGTTATCTCCATGCCTAAAAACATCAGAGCCTTTGGAAAAATCTTTCTTTCCATTTTTTCATTACATTATTTTTGTTCTCAGGAAAGCAATGGCTGGGGCAGCAGCCACTGAAGACAGGAAGCACTCCACACCTTCATAATAAACAACAGAGGACATAATGTACAAAAGACCCCCTTGGGGCCAGGAAAGAGAAAAAGACTTCTGTTCTTCTAGTTAAGGAAACTATCTGAAGACATTTTGAACTCCCCTGACCTCTTCCTCTGTTATACACTGTAGATCTCAGTGCCCTGTGAGGTACACCCAAGCTCATCTGAAATGGGTTAGCCTAGGCTCCTGCCACAGCCCTGTGGAGACTCCCATATACTACTCTGTAAATAATAAAAAGAATACTCTTAAAAAACACACTAAAAAAAAAAAAAAAAAGGAGAAAGAGTGAAAGAAACAAAAAGTCCAGGACAGCACACTGGATCCAAGTTCTCATTGCCTGATACATGCAGTAAGTGGGACATGTGTTGGCCCAAAATAACCCTTTCTTCAATGAACTCCCGCTTCCCTTCCTGTAAGCAAGCTGCACAGCCAAATGACTGCAAGGCAGATGTAAATCATCACTGAAGAACTGGCAGGCATAGATCTTGTACCAGACTTACACGAAAGCAGGTTCACAACA